AAAAAAATGTTAATAACAGAAATGAGGTTAAATTTGTGTTCAAAAAGGGCTCACCACTTTCGTGCCTTAAGTAACCCTCGTGCTATTGATAGAAGAAACCAGACAAGTAGTGAATAGGTCTTTATTTCGATCTTAGCGCAGTCACAGTGGAGCGTGGGATTATCTGTTCAGACAAACAAAGGCTCTCAACATTCAATATAAGATAATAGGGAATATAACGCTTATAAAAAATAAGGAAGTGAATGAATACTTGAACAATACTGTTTTGGCATATGCTTGGTTGTTTGTGGTCGACTCTTAACCAACCAAAGCTGTTACAGAATCATTAGTTCATTCAAACGCCACAGATATCTTGCTCCTAACCCCAATTGTCACTGACAATCACAGACACTGTACTGATATACTATAAATACCGTGTTACAGACTATATCTTGGTTTGGTAAGGTCCCACACAAAATGCCTCTAGTCAAATTACAGTCCTTCGGAATCAACAACCCACTTTATTCATGGTTTGTTTCATTCTTAACAGAACGTGAACAAGTAGTAAAGTACAATGTCTCTCTCTCATCATCTAGACCAATAACTAGTGAAGTCATCCAGGAAAGTGTATTGGGTCCACTTTTGTTTCTTATGTATATAAACCATATATGTGTAGCGTGGTGTCGAGTTGAAATTAACTATGAACACCGCTACCAAGAAACACGTGCCAAATAAATCAGAAGGCGAAGGTTGGACGTAACCAAATAAATCCAGAAAATCCCCGAGAAGCCAAATATCAGAAGACAGTTAATGGACCAAATCGAGATATATATTCGCTGGCGATCTCGTGGTATCGAAAGGATACCGAGATCGTGCCAGAATACAAGCTTGGTTACAGAGCGTAACCGAATTCGCGCGAAGTTACAATCAAAGTGTGTGTATAAGAATGGAAGCACAAAATAGCTGTCATTAGCACAGTCAAACAAAAGCACATTAAAACAAGCACTGGTACAGTTGGTTATAATAATAATTGTTTCTATTAAACCAGTCGTGTTCTCGTGATAAATGTGAGTCACTACATATGTAACATCATCAATTTTGGAAACCATACTTATATGCTGATGATCTCAAAATAGTATACAACTGTAAGCCTGAGGCTCCAAGTGAAAGTGTATCCCAGATTCAAGATGACCTAAATAACTTAACTATATGGAGTGAAAAATGGCAATTACCATTTAACCTCAAAAAAATGCGGGATCATGCATTTTAGAAAACATTCCTATGATTTTAAACTTTATTTAAATAAAAGTAGAGTCTAGACACTCAAATCAGTACACGATCTAGGAATTAATTACACAGAAAGCCTAAACTTCGAAGAACATGCCTCGTTTTATTATTTCAAAACCTAGATGGCTAATTGGTTTCATAACGAAAAATTTCTTTACAACAGAGGCTAAGCCTAGCCTTTGCAAAATATGTGTACGGACTTCCCTTAAATACTCCTCTTTTATCTTCTCTAATATGAATACCACAGACAACATAAGATTAGATGTTCAAAGACGCTTCACACCCCAACTGCTAGGAAGTGACTCCACTCTCGATTACACATATTGATGTAAGCACCTCTGTTTAGAACCTTTATGGCAACAATCTAATATTTCTCTACAAAACATTATACGGACTCTCACTTCTAACCTCCTGCCCAACTATGATCCATGGCCCAGCCTGTAGACTAAGAAACAATGCATGTACACTACTTACCGTAAAACACCGAAAACAAATGCGTTGTAGGTTTTACACAGTAAAGCATAGTTTATTATGCAACAGGTTGTTAATACCCAAACGTAACTGTGACACTTTTACCAAATTCAAAAGTCTAAAAACACTGTTCCCTGACACTAAAGAACTTCATCAACTATTCCCTGAACTTCCGCTCACCAATGAGGCAATTTATTATGGACCGCCTAATATCCAGACATATCATGAATAAAACAAACCCCATTGTCATTAACATTAATATAAACAAGTGACAGAAAACATGGTTTACGCTCTCCCATTATTCATTGATTATTAGTTATGCCATTATGCTCCTACTCCTCACTTCCAGATTCTGAATCTCTCTAATGGTTTGAGATACATCATGCTTACTAAGTGACAAGTCTTTTTTCTTCTGTTACAAGTAGAGAAATAACTTACTAATCTTATGGATGTTTAGTGCACTGTGGATCTGACTCCCAGATCGTATGAATGTTTGTTATCGCCCATTCTCGTATACAATCGTCGACTTAAATCAAGTTGTCCAATAACGGATATAGATAAGTCAAATGACGAGAATGGACTTGTGAATACATATATTTCGTATATGAAGCGGATGAAACAGAGCAAATCAAAATCACACGCAGGGAAGATGGCTGGGAAGCCAACTCCATTTCTAGCCAGGGGTTACGCAATATTTATAGACAGACAAAATTAAGCTACAGACATGTGATTAATGGGATATGAAGTGTACACACATATACGTTCATATAAAAACAGTCAAGACTGATAAGCGAATAATTGACAAGGTCAAAATATGACTCAAGTATAATGAATAAAATGGAACGTCCGAAAGCTAGAATAAGATATATGGCTTAAAATAATGACTGACGCTACAGATGCTGATCAGCTAGGGCCGACTACAAGAAGCTCATAATGTCCTAAATCCTTGTGAATTGCTCAATGTTTTGTTTTTTTACTCTGACAATTTTACACTACCAAACTCTTGCATATTCTTTGATTTACTATCTATCCTTACCATCTCTTAACCAAATATAATCTGGTCTGTGTTTTTCAACTTTTCCCGTGTGAAAGTGAGATTAGAATTTGTGTAGAAGGGAAAAAAGGTAAAAATTACAACCCATATGCATATGTCGGTAGAATAAATCGTATATACATAAACATGCAAACAGTGAATAACCTCCTCACTCACAATGGTTTGTTCATGATTACATCTAACTTACCATAAATGATCCTTTCAAATCTCATATCGACCACATTATTAATTCTATCCATGGATCTCATTTTGATGGTTTGGCTGGTGTCACATCTGTATCATAGTTAAAAAATACGAAGATGTATTCAAGGTTGACCATGCCGCAAAGGTGAGAGTGTTGCTACGCAAACTTGGCACAGCAGGACATGAACGCTACACCAATTGACATAACTGACGCTGTTTGGAATAACATTCATTTCACTTGTCTTCTGTCTTCTCATTTGCGACTCGGGAGGGTTTTGACGTCTGAGTGCTCAGGTTATGCGCGGTATATTAAGAATCTAAAGCCCTAGATCTAACAATAAAACACTAACATAGTGTATTGCGGTATGCGTTGCTGATGTCGACAGACATAAGCAGTATATATCATCAATCGAAAGTGGGATGCCTGGAGGCAGATGGCTGAGAAAATCGAAGAAAAGAGAACGAGAACAAAGAATGATTGGTATAGAAACGAAGGAACAACAAAGTCGGCGACAGTTGATTAGTATTTTGCAAATGAAGTATTACTGTATGGTTCTCAGATTTCACTAAGAGATCCCCATTTTTATCTTCCGTCACAATATTATTCGTTTACTTTATCAAATGTCGGATAATTTTTGGACTATGTACTGAACTGAATAAAGCAGAGCGAAGGGACCACCGTATTCTAAATCAATGGTTGTGATACCATGCTAGACATGTGGTTTGATGACTATAGATTTGTACTGCTGTAGGGATTTGACTCCTGAGAAGTCAAAAATTACAGTGCAAATAGCTATTCAGTTCCCCTTAAGTTTTATTGGTTACTTGTTTAATGTGTAGTGTCGGTCATTATTCAAAGCCCATAATATATTTTATTCTAGTTTTTGGACAAATCAATCTATTCATTCTACTTGAGTCATATTTTGACCTTGTCAATTATTCGCTTATCAGTCTTGACTGTTTTTATATGAACGTATATGTGTGTACACTTCATATCCCATTAATCACATGTCTGTAGCTTAATTTTGTCTGTCTATAAATATTGCGTAACCCCTGGCTAGAAATGGAGTTGGCTTACCAGCCATCTCCCTTGAGCGTCCTTTTTGCTGTGTTCTTTCGCATTCACTTTACATACAAAATATATGTATACGAAAGTTCATTCTCGTCATTTGACTTATCTAAATCCGTTATTGACTAACGCGATTAAAGTCGATGGTTATATACAAGGATAGGTGATAACTAATATTCATATGATCGAAATGGAGTCAGATCAACGGGCCACTAAATTGGTGAGCCCTTTCGACAAAGTCATTCGATCTAAATGACGACAAAATTACGGGCTCCACTAAAAATGGTTTCACTAAATAATGAAAACCAATTTTTACGATTGAAAAAGTTTCTTAAATTACCAAATCGAAATTCTTCCTTTGTTGTTTCACCATCCTTTTTTGATGTTATATATCTAAAAAATCATCGTTTATCACTGTTACTAGAAATTAGTGAAGGTTAGACCAATACAATGCCACTCAAGTAAAAATCTACCATGGTTTACGCTTGTTTTATAAGAAGATATAGAAAGATAAGCTGATAGTCTTTCGCCTGAAATCATGTAACTAAATCCCATGAGGAAGATATCTATTCAAGGAGGAGTAAATGATATACTCAACAAGCATAGACATAGTACTAGCCTGTGCTCATACTTAATCTCAAGGTCATAGTGTACATAATATATCATAAGCGAAGTAACCTATGCAACTACCCAAGGTCTTATGGTGTTCAATATAGACGTGTTAAATCCACATGAGTGTATACTCATTTTGGAATGCAATATCTGACAAAGCATCTAACTATTAAATGAATCAATTCAATCCAAATGGTCAACTAGAGATCAGTAATGTAATCATGTCGAATATCTTATTCCTAAATGCTTCTACAATACCTTCACCTGGTTCCCTGTCTTTTTATTTATTAATTATTACTCTTCACGTTTGTATAGGGAGTGATTTTGCATGGCATAAGAAGCATGTATCATTACCAGATTGGATTGTAGAATATAACACAAACATCTTCAATAAAAACAGTACAATCCTTCATTGTCTAAACATTGAATAAGTTCCATTCAATATAGTAACAATATTGATAGGTTGAAATTCTTTCATACATAATAAATTAGAATAAACATAATAGATCGACTAGTTTTCAATCATTAATTTCTTTAAAAATAAAAAAAATTTCGCAAATTTATTTAAACAATAGAAAAAATGTAAATGACATAAAATATGATTTACATTAAAAATTTGTAGGCAAACAACCATAATGTAAAAAAAGTTTTCTTTTTTTTTTTTGAAACAAAAAGAACCGTACTCACAATCATTATTGTTACTGGGATTAATTCGTACTGGAACAAACAAAATAAATTTCAAATATACATACGATAATATCGATGAAAAATTAATGTGGAGGGAAATTTTATTTAAAAGAAAAGAGGAATATGGAAGAAAAAAAAATAAATATCTCACTGTATTAAATATTCCATTGAAGGTTTTTTCTTTGAAACAAACAAGCGTAATGAAAATACATTTCTTTTTATTTAATTTCTCTCATCTAACATATACACTAGCAATTAGTAGTTCAATCCATATTAAACATCAAGTAATGTTAAAAGAATCCAATCACATATATAAATTGATATTTTCTCTTCGAATGAATGGTAGACTATAATTTATGGATGACCTTTGAGTGATGCTTAAATGACCTCAAGAATATCTACCCAGTTTATGAGAATAAAAAGCGGTCATAATTAAGATTAGGATCTTTAGTTAGAAATCAGGGTTAGGAATTAAATTTAGGGTATTCATCATGAATTGACATTAGCTATCGTGTCAAAATGCTGTATGATCATATTAATAAATGAAGTTGGCGTCAAAATCCACGAAATGCTGCCTCTAAGTTCATTGGTTTTGAACAAAGAAAGAAATAGTAATCAGTTTGTAATTCAATGGTTGTAAAATTAAAACGAAAATAAAATTACATAGATGATTAATTATTGCAACAAATTATGTAAGAATTAGTTGTTTTCAGTTATGAACTCCTTTGATTATTGCCTCTTCCTTCTTTTTTTTTCTTCATTTAAACTAATATCCTTTAACAGATTAAATGAACATAAATTTTAAAATAAATAAAAATAAAAATGATAATTTACAATACAGAGTTTACAAGAAATAGGATCATTCAATGTTTAATCTTATTATGAAATCAAATCAACCAATGATTGAAACGTATTCTTTATTGATGATGAGAGAAAACAAAATAAGAAATGAGTTATTCATTTGGAAAAAGAAAGTTTATTCATTACTGTTTGTAACAAACAAGATAAGATACTGTTCATAAGCCATTGAGTTTAATGATGTATTTTATGATATATAATGATGATTGATAAGTTGATAAGTAAAATGCTTATTGAATTACATTGTTACTTAAATTACATACCAAAACCAATTTACCTTTTTGTATAATTCAAGAAGAAGGAGAGAGAGAGAGAGAAGAGAAAGGAAGGAAGTGGTTGGGAGAGGAAAGACAAATTGTAAAATGAGTTGTAAAAATAAGTACACTCATAATCAGTGAACAATTCAATATAAAATTCTTTAATGAATATACATATTGCATAAACCAAATTAAACTAATCCTAAACCAAACCAATTCAATGGTCATATTCATCAAAAATTATACATGTTCATGAATTGAATTCCCATTTGTAATATACACATTTTTTTGCCATTTATATAAACATAAAAAAATAAATTGACATAGAACAAATGTACCAATACCATAGGATTCAACATTTTGATAATATGTTAATGATGAACATTCATTCCATAATAATTCAATAATTTGTATAACAATACCATTAGCTAATTTATCAGTAAATGACATATAACCATAAACAAATGCACCATGTTGTTGATATTTTCCTATTAAATCTGATACCATTGCTAATGATGTAATTAATATAATAGTACAACCGATACCAAGTATACCAGCAGCAATGTATATACGATGAATTATTGGTGGATTACCAGGATAATTAACTAATATACAAAATATTGTGACAAAAATTAATCCAATTCCGGAATTTGTCTGTAAGTTGATAATATTTTTTTGTTAAAAATGCAAAAAAATTTATAAAATGGAAAAGTATTTGAAAAGAAAAGAAAAATTTACAGGAAAATAGAAAAATAAGACTCTCAATTTAGTTGCTGAGTATTATATTTAAAAACATGTCATTACTACCTTCTAAATGAGTTCATGATCTTCTTGTAAGGATCAATGAATAACAGTCATATTACTATATGATCAATATAATTCGATCAGAATTAAGGAACAGATAAACTTTGCAATGACTAATCAAAGTCAACATCTCAGTAGTACAGGAGGACAATAGCTGTTTGCATAGGTGTTTGGTAACGGTTCAAAATGTGAAATCGGGTGACTCATGTTTTAATTTATCAGGGAGCATCAATCTCTTTAAGACTACAGAAATCCCTAACTAGAAAGCGACAAGTTCTAAGAAACCTAGGTTCAGCGCTTCCGGTTGACTTAAACAGATTACCTAACAGTCATGCTGAGAGTAAAACGGAGATTCATCAGCGACATTGAATGATTGATAATCATAAGTTAGAGATATAAATTATTAGATTGTGAAACAATTCTTTAGTTGTATTGAGTGTACAACAGTGAGTGAAAACAATTGGGTCTGTCACTGCGATTAAATGCACCCAGAGATAGTCAAAAACTTTCCTGATTTAATTTCAAGGATACACTCTGTTAATAAAACTTATTTACGTTCTCAACGTTATCCTACCACAAAAACACCTACAGAACAAAACGGTCATTAAACTGGATGTTTACAATTCCCTCAGTTGAAATAATGAGATATATTAAACAAATTGAGTTGCTGATTTAGTCAAAGTCGATTGATGATTCTGTAAAACTACAGAAAAACTTCAGTCACCAGTGTTCATTACCAAACTTTTCTCAAAGCTGATGATCAACAAATAAAGCATGCATAATCATACAGATTGGTGTGCTCTTGTTAAACTGTAGTGAACGAGAACACAAGTTGAGACAATTGAATGTTTTTAAACACTAAATTACAGAATTTCTTAGTAAAGTCTGAGAACCATACTCTAAATACTTAATTTATAGAATATCAGTCAATCGTCTCAGACTTCATTGTTCCTTCATGTCCACATCAATCATTCGCTATTCTTATTCTCTTCTCAACAATCTTTTCAACCTTCTGCCTCCAGGTATTTCACTTTCGATTAATGATAAATACTACTTACATCTATCGATATTAGTAACACGCATAACAATACTTAATTAAAACTTTTCATTTTAAAGACGAGAATTCTGTTGATTTATTGTAAACTATGAGGATTGTGTAAATATTTATTTAAACAATCATATAAACATATCAGTAAAAGATATGACTAGATGAAAAAGCAAAATTACATTTTTAACTCATTTCAATTCTTGTTTATCATTACCGTTTTTAATCTAATATGATGATTATTTGGTGTCATATCTATTTGATATTCAGTGTGTTATTTTATTCAGTCTAAAATTGGTTTGGTTCAGTGTGATGATTATTTAAAACATGATATTCTATGCATTAAATTAACCTTAAAGTATGTTCAGCATGATATGCACCATGTGGTTTTTTATAATCCTGGGTACTTTTCATATATGTGACTTTTTAATAAATAATAATCAATTGTGTGTACAAACTAATATATGACTAAGTGTATCTTCAACGATAGTTGTTGTCAACTTTTCAGGTGAATAAACCTGTAGTTGTACCAGTCTTTCGTGTTATTACTTCGTATCGTGGAAATTGTAATGGCTCCTTGTTTAAGAATAAGCAATAAGTTTAGCCAATGGACCTAATCCGTATCGGGTGTGAAGACGATGAAAGATGGCCGCGCAATGTCGTGGATTGGTTGAGGTTAGAAATTAACACTTTTGTATGCTGACTCAGTGGTCCAGAATTTAAGCTTTCTCACGTGCGATCGAAGATCTTGTGTACGATTTTCCGTTATAGAGATTTGGACGCGCAGTGCTGAGGAGTCCCATATCAGGAAGAAACGGCCGTCCGGTTTCTCTAGGTCTTCTAAAATAGTCTAACTTAGATCGGTTCATGATTTTAATGCGATTCAACAATTTTCACAACATTATACTAAAAATAAACTATTGATTCAAGTAATCTTCTATGAATTTTATCGATTTCTCATTATTGCTGAGATATACAGTGTAACAATTTGAAACGATGCCTATTTTTCACTTCTTCTCTTACATTATTTTGACTAACACCGATTGATATGTATGTTTGAACATGAATAATAAACAAAAGAACTCACTTCACGACTGATAAGATCCTGTATTGGTTTTTGTACCATAGTAGTAGCAATACTTGTCAGGTACACTGTTAAAGGAACTAAAGCCATTGTAACTTTAGGTAAACGTAATGAGTGTAAAAGGTAAATTGTTAAATAAGCCTGAAAATTAAAAAAAAATAACTCAATGTAAATGTACAAAATGTTGACTAGTCTTCAATAATCCTTAACAAATTTCCACCAATTATTTAAATTAGGACATTAAAACACATTGCGAATTTATTAAGGGTCGGAGAAAATTCTACCTTATATTAATTTTAAGAATGACTATCATAGTAATACTAAAACATTTTCTAATTACGGAAAATAAATTGGTTACTAAATAATAGAAATTCATCACGGTCTGGTATTCGTTGATTGATCATTCAAACAGTAGAATCCTGGATAGTTATTCTGTGCGAGCTTCAAAACTATCAGTAATATGCACTAAAGATTCCGGCGCGACAATAATTTATGGACGAGCCAATCAGAAGTGTTTGAAGGATTTCAAGGTCACTGCACCATTTTCAGTACCTGATGCTCACGCACGATCGGTTTACAGTGGATTTTAGAGAAGACGTGAAATTGAGCCACTATAACAGATGAGACTACTAAGAAGTTCCTTTATCTGTGACTGTGGTAATCAAATGACTGCTTTACCGTGTGCAGACTATCGTGACGAGATTGTCTTTCGCTGTTACTTATGTTGAATAGATGAAACAGTAGTGAGGAAGCGAAAATTTAAGAGGACGTAGTATCAAGGAAGACTAGGTTAGTAGCACTTCCATAAATATACCTGACATGTACTTGGAATTTACGAAAGATCAATCTAAAAGAGACACTTCCAAAGGGTCAGAAACCGACAAGCAACCACAATAATATCAATTATACGGGAATACGTACAGCCGGGTACTACAATATATACGGATGATTGAAGAGCCAACCGATGCCTGCATAGACTTGGTTATGTGCATCATTTTGTTGTCCACAAGCTCCATTTTGTGGACCCTACAACAGGAGGGCACACTAACAATATTGACGCTATGTGATCAAGGTTGAAGGAATTTTTACGACCTTATCATGGCCCGAGAGGTCGACTATTATTGAGCCATATGGACGAGTTCCTCTGCCGTATGCATTACGATTTCAGAACCTCTGAACCTCTTTCAAACGTTGATAAGTTTTTGAACCATGTAAAAGAAGTACATCCACCTTAATTCTTTGGTTTTTTATAATAAACTTTACTTCATACTGTCTTCTGATTGGCTAATATTTCTCAAGGTCACTAAAGATTCGTTCAAAGGTCGTCTATACATTATGGTCTCGCCGCAATTTCTCACGCAATTAAACCTATTATCAACAGATTTTACGGTAAGTTTAATACTGGTGGTCTATATTTTTCTAGCCTCGTTCAATATCGATTGTAGTCAACAAGTCACAATTTTCGACCAGAACTTTATGAAATGTGTTTTGAAACTACTGAGTAATGTGAACATATTCAATATTCATACAGAGTGATTTCTTTTTTTTTGCAAAGATTGCGTTCTTAGAAATGAGTGGGCAAACCATGATACTTTCAGTGCTTCTAGACAAAATTCAAAGGACAAACTCCAAACAAAAGTGAACTGTGAGAATTTCTCGACGAGTAATTGGTTACTTGTCCCGCTGACTTTGGACTTAATTAGCTTTAACATATCATTATCTGTACATTTACTTGGATTGTTTTCCTCTTTGACCTGATTATTGGTCTTATTGTGATGATTTCCTTAAAATATCTTACTATTCGAAAGTTAGATTACAATGTTATCTTCATTGTCCTAACTTTCGACTAACATAATGTTGCAAACATTACCGTTTTCCAATGAATATCAACTTGTGATTAAAATTGTTTTTCTAACGATTTACCTCCTTGATCATTTACTTATGAAGCATTTATAAGAATTAAATGATTTGATTTATTAGAATACATGAAAGGAAAAAAAACTATTTCTGTTTGCAGCTCTTATTATTACTATTATCACTATTATTAGTAGTTTGACAACTTCACTTATCTTGGAAGTTTGATCAGCACTAATGGGTTGGTGTCTGATGAAATCTCAGCACGGATTCTAAAAGCTCGTTCGGCTTTTGTCAACTTACGTCACCTATGGCGAAGGCAAGATATCCATCTATCAATAAAAGGACGAGTATACTGCACGGCAGTCCGTTCTGTTTTAATTTACGACAGCAAAACATGGCCATTAAGAGTAGAAGACACTCGTAAGCTACTAGTATTTGACCACAGATGCCTTAGAAATATTGCTGGCGTCTGCTGGGATCACCGGGTAAGTAATAGTGAGGTTAGACGCAGGGTATTAGGGAATGATGGTAAATCAGTTGATGAGGTTGTGACCCTTCATCGACTGAGATGGTTGGGCCACGTGCTACGTATGCATGAACACCGATTACCAAGACGTGCAATGCCAACCAGTGTTCAGGATGGTTGGAAGAAAGTTAGGGGCGGCCAAACCAAAATGTGACATCAGTCCACAAAGTCACTAACTTCTAGTCTGAACCATGTTAGTAGAGTCAGACTACTTGGTTGGGGTCCGCGTGACTATCGTAACCAATGGTTAGAGACTCTTGGTGACATGGCTCAGAATTGATCACAATGGCGTCGGTGTACACACTCTCTGTCTTCCCTTAAACTAAGAGATTAAAATTGCTTCATATCTTTCTTTCTACGTACTAATTCTTTCTTCCTGTACTATATCCTTATATGCAATCTTTCTTTTATATATTACAACCTCATAATTAACTATTTTTATGAATCCGGTGTTCATGTTGTTGTGTTAATTAGGTATGGCAACTTGGACCTATGAATATATGTGCCTGGTCCTACGTTGTAGCTGACTGACTGACTGATTATTATTAGTAGTAACATTTGTCCAGCTAAGTAAATGCTTTATGATTATGAAACCTTCATTATCATACTAGACAATATTATCAGTGCTTAATTCATATAATTATCACTATCCTTAATGTTTTGATTTAACATTGTCGACCTGAATCACCGATTTTACTAATATTGAAACGAGTTTTCTTATCTTAATGCTACAAGACAGTAATCTTAGTGTTTACCCTACATTTGTATATGAAATTCAATTGGAAATTTCACACATACTCGTTAAAAGTAAAAATTGATAGCGAACTGAGATCAGTTAAATACTGTAATTGTAAAACATTATTGTGAAATGTATTTCGTTTTTATTTGAAATTCTTCATACACAAACAGATATACACAGAATGCCTCCAGGTTGGAATTACTGCTTTTAGACTTCATGTTGAATGCGTCAACATTTTAAATTAAATTTGTAAAATTATTCATATAGAAAAAGTATTAATTTATTCTTTCAATGTCTACTTACCAGATTAATATAAAATGTGGGCCTGTTTTCGTAACTAAACTCCAATTATTCCAGTATACGATGGTTGATAGCATAGGATCAGATTGGAAAACAGTTAATGATAACTAAACCAAGACATAGTGGTGTGGCAACTCGAACTGATGTACGTACGTACGAAATTACTGACTGACTGACATAGTACCATTAAGTCATTGACTGTTAATCTGATGTATGCGTTTTTGAAATATGTAAAGTGACAACTTCAAATTCATGTGATAATTCCAATCCGTAGTTAGATATGTTAAGTGTTATGAGTCGAAATCAATGATTTTGATATAGATTCAGTTTGAATCATCGTGTATACTTTTTAATTTTGGTCGATTTCAATAGGGTTCACTTTCCAACCTTGATTTCCCTTTTTTTATAATTTTTCCATACATTGATTTTGACTTTTATACTGCTAATTTTCTCTTACATTGTACTGTCATGAATTATGAATAATTTTTATTTATTATTCAATACATCAGATACAAATTAGTATAGTTAATGACGAGTTTAGTGATAATACTCGTTAACCCAAACTGAAGTAGATAAGGTGAGATATAAATCATAACTGTCAAGTCACAGTAACATTCTGAGCACCTTCAAACAATGTTATTCTAACTATGATGGACTAATCATGTTCTGTACAAAGGACTGATGATAAACGTTTTCTTCTTATAGATTCTAGTTCATTTTAATTGATTCAGATAGAGAAATTCTTATATTCAAAAAAAAAAAAAAATTAAATATTAAATAAACTGTACTTGCCTGTGATACATTGACAATTAGTCTAACAAACATGTAGAAAAAGCCAAGAATCCAAAATAATGGTAAACGTAACCAATCTCTCCATGTAGTAATTATATAAGCAGGATGTTTTATCTGACTGACAGATTCATGATTAGGATTATCCACTTCATTGAATGAATTACGTAAAAGTGGTGAATAATTGTGAAAAAAACTATTTACCGGCTTTTTTTATTAACATTTAAACAAATTTTTAATGTATTGATTTATATAATTGGGAAAATAAAACATTATTATCTTAAAACTTAATTCAACTCAGATAGCACTTGAAACAAACAAATCGTTTGTCATCATAAAGGGGTTTTGTGAAGATTTTATTGATTTAATAATTGAATTTATGAGTCAATTGAAGCTAGACAACCATAAAAAATCTGGAAACACTGGACAGCCATTTCATCACATTGTGGGAGTCCTCAGCAGTGCACATTCACGATCCCGCCACGCAGGATTCAAACCTAGGACCTAACGGTCTCGTGTGCGACCGCTTAACCTCTAGACCACTGAACTGGCCAGCGTCCAACAGTTTTAATGTTTTACTTCAACTAATCCGCGAAATTGTGCCACGATTCACCATTTGTTGTAAATTTTTGTAATCTAGTCTATGAAAATAAGATTGAGTAACATCGTATGTATTATGAACTGAATAAAATCACATTATTAATTTGAGATTCAGTAGCTTATTAATATCGTAATAATCTTAAGTGATAGGGTTTATGGGTTCAATCTCATGAAATTATTTATTATGGAGTTTTGACCATAAAAATATCCTTTCTAGTTTTTCCATTATAGTTCCTCAGGAGATATTGATATACGATGAAAAATACTTCATTGTGATAACTTTTGTCAAATGAACGTTCTCTGTACACTTGATTGATTGATAATTAGTGAAAGATATCTTGATTTCTAGTTTGTAATACTGATTGAATTCTATTTGTTAAGTTTCAATGTGAGTGATGTAAGATCTCATATACCGTGTTGAGATATTAGGTGATTGAAGGTAGTCAGCAATAAATCATATATCTAGGTTTGGCGATTGTTGGTACTCATTAGAGAACTATTAGTGACGCCAGAGATTACGAAGTTGAACGACCTGAGTTCGAATCCGACATTCGGCATCGATCTGCTTCAGTTTACTGACGAGTAAACATATTACCACTGACGTGTAATGTTCACGATATCTATCTCCACTTCTACAAACTAGGATGTTAATTGTAACCAAATAACACTAATAGATTTTAACGATCAAGTATCGATTTTAAATCCTCGTTTCCAGCCTTAAAGTAACATCATTATTCATCATTATTGAGCAGTAGACTACAATACATTCAAACCCATAAACTCCACACAGAACTTATACAGTTAAATAAGTGCTTTCACATTTATCGGTAACGGTATCTTTTTGTGATTGCCATGAGGTTCCTTCCAATGCACTGCTACATTAATACTATATTATACACTAAACTATATTATATACAATGGATATCAACTAAAAGTATGGACGCCAATATATGAAAGTTCTAATTCATATGATAATATTGATTCATTTTACTTGAGTAAATAATACGTAATGAATAGACATACAAAACACTGATTCGGTTTTAAGTAAAATCAATTGTAAATCAAGTCAGAAATATTAATCTAATTTCCTAAATACATTATAGTCACGCACGCAATTACTTGAAGAAGAATAGTAATGTAACAGACGAATTGTCTTAATTATTGCTCTCTCTATCTCTCTCCATATATATATATATATATATATATATATATATATATATATATATATCGTCCTGGCTAAATAATCATTGTTTATAGTTCAGCCAGGGACCAATCTTAGTTAAACAGTTGTTGGAAACCAGGAAGCACAGGATAGTTGTTTCGTTCCAGTGTAAGACTCCTCAGTAGAGAGCGTCCATAACTCTACCAAAGTGTTCTAAATAATGAAATTTCCGTAAATCCTTCAAAGAAATCATTACCTAATCAGCAGATGCAATAAACGGAATATCGGTGCACAGCAATCTACAGCCAACGTTCACTGAGTGTAACGGAGACGATGATGTTACCAGTTATTTACTCATCAATCCACTTAAAACAGATATTTTATGTGAAAGAATGATCTCTTAGCCAGGAGTACGCCATTAGATAAGAAAGCTGAATTGGTTCATCGATTTTTCGAAAAGAAAAACAGAAGTGAAATTTTTTTGTGACCCATTTTCTCTGATAATCAACAATTTGTTAGCTGATAAGTAATTAAGTCTAATTATCTTGGTATCAGTTTTAATTCACCAATTTATGAAGTTACTTGGTCAGTGATACTGTCTCCAAAAACAGACTCAAATTAGATATGGAGATCAGTTCTGCGGACATATTACTTGTCAAATCAGTATAGTCATTCACAGATTCTATGCGGTAAGTTTCTACACTATGACATTATGAATGAACGCACAATGAGCAGTGTGATGTGTTTCAAGCCACGGCTTATATTGATGTAGGTAATAGTGGTCAAATATAAAGTTAGGTGGAAAAAAGTGTTTAGTAGTAAAAATCATAAAATCAGTTTTGTTTATTCAACTTAAATATGGGAAAATATGTCGTTCACCCAACTTGATACCGTCTAGTATAGAATAAAATACTCCAATATTTATACTTATTGCTCCATTAATAACAAAACAGTAAGTATTAATTCTTGTAGTCAATTACTATATCTTAAGTAATAATGTCATGTAATAAGTTATTGTTCACTTAGTTTCAACAGCACTATATTGTATACTACATACAACAAGGACTAGAAATTATTGGGTTTGAAAAGCTAAAAAAGTTTGGAAGTGCAAATCGCTTTAAAACTCAAAACTACGAAGATATTCAATCACGATAACAATGATTCTCTTTACACTGTAGAAAATACCAACTATAATTGTTTCACTTCTGTATAACGGTTGTTTGAAACTTAATATTGATGTTTAGGACTTCAATTGATCAGTCTCTTTTGGCATATGTTCATCCTGTGCAGATTGTCTAGATATGACCAGTAATTCACGAGGATTTATTTTTTTTTAATCATAAACGGATGATGGCTGGCAGTGGAGTTAAGAACGAGTATCTCGTCCTATTTGGGAGTCATCACCTGAATGTACCTCCATCGTAGAGTTAATGTCCACCCCGGTACTCGAACCCACTCCACTGCTAACCACGATCCATGTCTGCTCTAAAAAATATAATTCTTTTATTTTTTCTCAATATTCCATTTAAACTATATGGACAAATTACACAATCATATACATTTTAAACAATACTTACCAACAGTTATAGGTCTTACATTGTGAATAAAATCTTTCTTTCTTACTCCAAAATGAAATAATAACATTGTTAATCCCCCAACCCCAATAATTGTAAAACCTAACTTTTGAAAAGCTGGTATATCATCTTTACCGAAATCAATAATGGACGGTGAAGATAGTGAGGAATTTGAACATTTCGATAATGGGTGTGAAGTCATTACCATAGGTAGCATAATATATTCAACTTCATTGTAATTAAGCAATTTTCTCAACGGTAACATATCATTCATTGAATTTTTAATACTAGTATCATTACGAATGTTATTATTATTATCAACATGATTTTGATGTTGTAAAAGGAGAAATGTACTAATATAAACAAGTAGATTACTAAGAACTGTGAATAAATAACGTAGGGAAGTCAATAAAGTACGTTCACTAGATTCCATAGATAATTCATTGATTAATGCCAAGTGAGTAATCTGAACTGCAGCCCATCCAGCCTAAAAACAACCCCATAAACAATGGATTGATTAATTTTTAGTTTTTAATGACCGAATACCGAATTTTAAAAAAAATAGTTGGCTATATTTCGAGGTTATTTGCAACACTTAATATGTCCAATAATTGTGTTATATATTAGTATAGGGGGGTTGTTGAGATTATTAAGTTTTTGATTGAGATCATGTTAGACACTATCACCATTGGATGCCAGCTCAGTGGTCTAGTAAGTTAAGTGTTCGCGCGCGAGACCGAAGGCCCTGGGTTCGAAGCCCGCGAGCGGGATCGTGGATGCGCACTGCTGAAGGGTCCCACAATAGGATGAAACGGCCGTTCAGTGCTTCCAGGTTTCCAAAGGTGGTCTAACATCAATCGGTTCATGATTTCAATCAAAAAATTCTGTTATATCCAAAACTTTAAACGATTTTTCCGTTCATTTTATTGATTTAAGGAATTTAAAGCCAACAATTAGTTTGCTGGTATTTCATGAATTGAAAAATATTTGTCTTGAATAAAATCCTTATACAATCAATTGTGAAACTGTAGCATAAAAGTTTAAATATTTGACTTTCAACTGGTAGATTCATATCCCCCTTCACTTAATTTATCTAACAGGGTGGCATAGCTAGCCATCAAGCAACAGAAGTATAGCTCAAAATTGAGTACATAAAATTTGTATTTAACGCATCAGTAAATCAGTTATAAAACTAACAATTAAATAAAATATGAATAACTTACTTGAAAAATTGCCACTAATGGTAAATAATAAATCATTTTCGCCAGTGTACTAATATTGGATGAACCAAGTGGTGGACCAAATATTAAAGGAAATGAAAAAATAATTAATATACTTCCGCACAGATGCCATATTTTACGACCAAATGGTCGAAATCTTCTTAGAACAGAGTTGAATCGTTGGAAAAAAGGCGAATTATTATTACCAGTAGAATTAATAACATCAGAAGAGTCTGTAGACATGTAGTTTTTATTATGATTGGCTAAATGGTCATTAGAATCATGCAAACGATCATTGAAATTATTACGTGTAACTGATGATGATGCTGACAAAGAGTGTGAAGAAGAAGATATTAACAACGGTACAGATGACTGAGATGAAAATCTGTCCGAAAGTAGACCAATTACTGGTGTCATCAAACCATCAACCAATTGGCCAACGAGTATTATTAAACCAGCCATACTTGTTGGTATACCAATACCAAATTTAAAAAATACCAAAGTATATGTAAACCATACAGATGCGCACAAATCATTTAAAATATGTCCGATTGCATATGATAAACGTAAACGCCATGTTAATCCCATATTGAAATGAATTCAATCCTGAAATTAAAAGCAAGCTGAAAAGGAAGGGAAGAAAAAATATCGATATATGTAAGCAGTCTTAATGGATTTATATTAGTAGTATGAGGAATTTGTTGAAGTTATTGAATTTACATCACGAATTGATCTTAGTTAGACAATTACGGGAACCTAGGAAACACTAGATATTTATTTCGTCCTTACACGGGACTCTTCACCAGTGAGCATTCGCGGCTACGTTATGGATTTAACACAAAATCTTTAGATTTCGAGGAGAACGCTTAATCTTTAAACTACTCAGTCGGCATTCAATAACTAACATGTTTAATCATAACCAAATTTTCGATATTATGTAATCATTTTCTAATAGATATTACAATAGTTCGCCATTTCATGAGTACGAAAACTGGTAAAAAAATATTAAACATATTTCTATTTGTGATAAACCAAAGCGAAACTATAACCAATGACCTGATCTACATAACGTATGTAATAATAAATACATGAAGTAACCCGAATTTAGTAATATAATGAGGTAAATGAAAAAAGATTTTGTTTTTAGAGATTGTTGTCTGGTTAGTTCTATTTTCGGTTGGAAACGATTAATCGACTAATCACATGGAATGTTTACTTGTTTTTTCCATAATTCAGAAGCACATTTATATGGTATAATAATAATCGATATGATTGAAGCTTACACATTAATCATAACTGCTTCACAGTTAAATCAATGATCTAATTACCAGGAGTTTAATTTGTTTGACTCATACTATCATTTAATGAACTAGCAGTAAAGATTGATTGATCTCATATATAATATTTGAATCACTTACAACATTAGATACCAATTAGCTAATAAGCTATACATGAAATATTTGCATAATATAAAAAGTACCGTTTGGCAGAACATAATCTTTCAAAAATCATAAAACATGTGCACCAGGTTTCTAAAACTTTATTTTGTCAACTTTAGAGTAGATGAATGACCATCCCTTTAAAAAGACAGCCCTTTTGTAAGAGTATGCTTATTCTATCTCTGATTTCTTTATTCAGTCAAACTTTGTAAGTCCTCCGAGGGTCAGGCTATTCATGATGCTTTGTCGATTTTTTCTAGCTGATATTTTTCTCAAACCTAAATGTTGAGTCAGAATCGTGTGCTTAAGCGATTTTCCAGAGTTCAGTTCATCAATGATTATCGGAAGGTATAAGTTACCTCATACATCCTGTTTTTAATAACACAAGTCATAGAATATTTTAACCTTGAGCTAACCTTACAGTTTTTACAGGACTCACTGAAATACTTGATACAATGAAGTTATTCCCTTGAATGGATTATCTCTGCAAACAAACATTAACGTCTCATGAACTGACAAGAGAACATTAGTATACTATAAGAACACTGGAAAGCTGTCCTATGTTATAAACACTGTTGAGGGATAACAAACTGCTATTTCCTCGACTTTAATTATAATTCTACAGTTGGTGTCATTCTAGAATAAATGGTTATTTAATACAACAAAGAAATAATTAAATTTCGATGTTGAAACTGGTGAAACATGAAAAATTCCAATCATAATAACAAAACAAAAGATAGTAAAAATTCAAACAAACTGAATACATAGTGTCTTTTAATCCTATCCAAACAGTTACTACTTTTCATAGATGGCTTTTATCGTACACAGATATCGGTCTGAGAAGGAATAAAAATTCAGGAAGTGATCAAAATTCAGCTAGTCCCAATCTCAATTTTTTGACAGTTTACAATTGATTAATCACTGAGTACTGAACAATATCATGTTTTTGTTTAGTCCTTTAGTATTGATTCAATGATATCGATTAAGCTGGGACGTAGTCACTTGTCTGAATGACTTGACATTCTATACCCTAATAGCTCAGAGGCAACAGTTGACTGTGAACCAGAGTGACGCATGTACGAGTAAAACAATTCTGTCAAGATTTCACTTAAGCCTTACTGGGGCGTGCGGAATAGCAAAACATATAAATTAATATCTCCCAACGACTACCTTCAATCACCCTAACGTTTACCAATTCTAAATTTATCTATATTAACATAAAGCTATTACAAATGTTTCATAGATGCTGTTGGTAATCTTCTATTGTACTATATAGAAATAGTTTCAGAATATATCCAGTATACTATAAACAGTGGTTTGTTTTTGATATTGTTGTCGAATTTAACGACTTTAATTAAGTGCTCTCTATTAGGATATGTTCATCCTATGAGTATTGTCTTGATGTTCTTATTTCATCATATGATTTCATTTTATTCGGTTAGTAATATACCTGTTTAACAATCTAATAGCTACTCGAACTCAATCGCTTAAGGGATAATGAATCAATATTTGAAGCGTAAGTTATTAAATTAAATTCTCAAAGTAAAAATAAACAAACAGATGTATATACAGCTAAGCGAAAAGTTATAGTTAGGATGAAACATAACTCCTGAACTCTATTATTACTCACAATCAAATTACAATTTATTTATGTTTTAGTAAAATTAATCTTAAGCGTGAGTATCTAATTGAAAGCAAGAGCAACATATTCACAACTGAAGAACATCTGGAACTCAAAACAACTGTCTGTCAACCAACACCAAGGTCAGGATTTTCAATACGAATGTCAAAACAGTTCTACTGTATGAGGCGGAAACCTGGAGAACTACGAAATACATCATTCAGAAGATACAAGTGTTTATTAACAGTTGTCTAGGCAAAATACTTCGGATCAGTTGGCCAGCCACTATTAACAACAACCTAATGTGTGAGAGAACAAACCAGAACCCAGCGGAGGAAGAAGCGCTGGAAGTGGATAAGACAAACATTGACGAAAGCACCCAACTGTGTCAAAAAGCAAACCATCGCTTGGAATCCTCAAGGCCAAAAGAGAGGAGGAATAGCTAAGAACACATTACGCCGAGAAATGGAGACAGACATGAGAAAAATGAACAAAAGTTGGACAGAACTGGAAACGAAGGCCCAGGACAGAGTGGGTTGGAGAATGCTGGTCGGCATTCTATGCTCCATTGGGAGTAACAGGCGTAAGTAAGTAAATAAGTAATAAGTATCTAATTAATACTGGTAAGAGATTGAACAGTTGATAGTTTATATTATTGTTGAGAATAGAACATAGAAATTCTTACATTTACTAACTTTAATCCAATACAACATTAACATTTTCAGTTAAAAACGACATTCATTACATTTTATATTGTAATTATCAATGTTTTAGTTTATTCTTATTTGCTAAATAACTTCCTGTTTATATTTAAATTGAAGTGATACATTATATAATATTGAATATTATGAATTTAATAATTAAAGGTAATTATAGTTAATTAGAGAAATAATTTTTAAAACATGTGGGATTCTATTGTGATTATAATTCCGGTTAGTTATCATGTAATTTATTCGCCAATCAAAATATGACTTGTATTGTACTAAACCAATGATATTCAACCGGTCTGATCAGCCTAATGTCCTTATTGGTCCTTTACTAGCCTAGCCTATCCAATTGAGTTCAACACACCGATAACAGTTCCTGTTATGAGAATCATTTATTTCAAATATACTTGGTTTATATATCAATCAAACAGACGGTATCGCACCACAAAATAGGAAATAACATTTATACAAGATCATGCCAAAAAGTTGCTGTGAACGTGGGAGACTGTAATTAATAAACTGAATATAACTTAAGAACAGTAAATCGTATAATGATAAATTATAAGTATAAATGAAGCTTATAATAAGGGAAATATAAATATACATAATCGAACTACTGAATAGTTATACTATAAAGAATATATAGATAATATTAGTCCGCTAATAGTTCTCAGAAGTTACTCGTAATTTAATCTTCGCTAGGATATAGCATATTATGCTATCTTAACATAAAATGATTGTAATTAGTAGTTTGAAACAAATGAACTATGATTCCAAAAAAAAACTCAAATGAGATTATGCTTTTGAAAGAATGTTTAGATTTATGAGAAAACAGAAATTAATAAATGGTTGTTTTGTTCTAGTCTATAGAATTTTTTAGTAGTAAACACATACACATGAGACCTTATTTTGTGTCAAACTCAAATACTTTTAAATTTTGCAACGAACATGATATCAATCAGTCAGTGATATTGGAAACTAAAAGTTTACACACGTTTGACTTCAGTTATTTTACAATTATATACTAATTTCATTCAATATTACTTAATGACAATAGTACTTGTATGGTGTGTGCTACTTATATTGACATAAGTAGTAGATGATGTTAGTCGTGAACAGAAGGTGTGGCAGCAGAGAGACAAAATGATCGAACAGTAAAGAATGGAAACAAAGTACGATTTGTATGAAAATGCAAGAACAATGAAGTCTGAGTCATTTCAAGACAATTTGTGGACATTTTGCAAATTAAGCATTTACTTTATGATTGTTAGATTTCATTAACAAGTCCTGTAATTTTTTGTTAGATACATTCGATTGTCCCCACCCATGTTCTGTTCACTACACTAGCGTCGTAAACTAGTGTGTAAACTCCCAAATCATAATGTTCTATTGAAAATTCTGGAAACCCTTCTCAAATTACCAATCATGTGCTCTCAGATTTCTACTAGATTTTCCAAATGATATAATTTCGTGATGAGAAACATCTACAAATTGAATTAACCTCTAAAAGCATAACAGTTAAATAACCAATAGTTTTTTCTCAAATCTTCCATTGTTCAAAATTAGTAGATGATTACTAACAAGTGTGTATATTCAATCTTGCATAAATATTATTTACATAATTGTTAACGTGAAATATATAACCACGAATCAATGTAAGAGCTTACTAACGATTTTATGAATAACATTAAATGACTAATGATAAAAAGTAACATTAATTATGTTTAAGAAAAAAGAAATTATTTGCTGAGTCAAGCGACGACACAGAATTTCATACAACAAAGGCTTCAGTGAAATGTATCGTTTATTTCGCGTACAACACTTTAAAGGTTATTAACAGGTTGTTTGTATGAAATATTTATTTAATTAGTTAAGGATGGATGATCACAAATTAAACCGTTCAAATCCTGACCTCGAGTTGAAGGATCTTCATTCAGAAGAATTACGATTCCTCATGGAGAAAATCGAGATTCATCGAAAGTCACGAGAAAGATGCCCCCTCTAACAACCACAGAAACAATATGCGAGACTGGGAGGGCCAGTCAAACAGTTACGGAAATGAGGAGATACAACTTGATGGTGACCTGAATCAGTGAAACAAATTGGACCCAAGCTGGACAGAAAAGGATAGATTCGGAAGGGATGCTGCTGTACTCTGGTCATGAAGAAAATTCTCCTCACACTCAGAGAGTTGCTCTGATGTTGTCCACAGAAGCACGTAATGCGCTTATAGGATAGGAATCTCATGGATCTATAATAATCAAAACATAATTCAGAACAAAGAAGGGGGACCACAATGAATGTTATTCTATGTTATGCACCAACTAGTAAAAGCAACGAAGACGATGAAGAACAGTTTTATGAAAGGCTGAAATTGATCATAACGTAGTGATCAGGAAAGGACATGACCATCCTAATAGGAGACCTAAACGCCAAAGTCGGGATAGATAAAAACGGTTATGAAGATATAGTGGGACGACATGGACTGAGAGAAAGAAATGAGAGTTGCGACAGATTCACAAATTTATGTTTTAAAAAAAATGGTTATAGATGGCACTATATTCCTCAACAAAAGCATACACAAAGCTAGATGGGTCTCACGGTGTCACACTACAGAGAACCAGATAGATCATATATGCATCAGTAAAAAAATTCATTAGGTCATCGGAAGACGAGAGAATAAGGAGAGGAACTAGCATAGCTTCAGATCATCACCTGCTTGTGCCTGAAATGAAACCAAAGCTGAAGAAGTACTGGACAACTAGGAGAGCAGCATTACAAAGATTCAATAGAGCCTTCCTTTGAAATACAAGCTCAATGGATTCAGGATAACTCCCAACAAAAAGTTCCAAGCGTCACATGATGTACTGGAAAAAAGAAGAATCTCCTATGAAGGACAACTGGAGGGGAATCAAACAACAACTAACTCCAACGTACCACGAGGTTCTGGGCTTCAAGGGGCATCATCATAAGGAATGGATCTCTGTTGAAACCCGGGGAAAGATTTAAGAAGGGAAGAATACGAAGAAAGTAATTAACAACAGCCGAAAAAGGGCAGAGAAAGTCAAGAAACAAGCCAAATGCACTGAAACAAACAAACGAGTCAAAAAGAGCATTAGGGCCGACAAGTAGAAATACCTGAAAGAGCCGGCAATGACAGCCAAAAACGCTTCAATAAAAGGAAATATGAAACATCTATATAATACGAAGATGAAACTAGCAGAGAAGTATTATAAACCAGAGAAATCAGGCAAGAACAGGGACGAAAGACAATCACTAATATTCAAGAACAAAGAAGCAGATGTGTAGAATACTCCGAGGCCTCCTTAATAGATCAGCCACATTGAATCCAGTGGATATCTAAGCAGCACACACAGACCTTCCTATAGATGTCACTCTACTGACGATTAAAGAAATCAGGATGACCGTCAGACAAATCAAGTGTTGGAAAGCGGTTGGACCTGACAATATTCTGGCCAAAACACTGAAATCACACATACAAGTAACTGCGAAGATATGTAATGGCATTGGGCCCTAGCCACAAAATCCTCAAGCTTGAACACGAGACAACTTAGAAAATAGATATTCAGCATTTAACGCGGAGAAAAACACAAGGATGGAGAAGGAGGGAAGAATAAATTCAATTAATTGATCAATCGGATGGCGTTGCTCGGCCTTTCAGGCGTGGTCACTCTTGGGTGTTGTCTTATATCTTTTATTGATATTAAATATATTGTTCTATCTCTAGCCTAAGCTTGTTCTTCATCATATATTGATGATTGCTACTATGCGATGAGTTGGTGTAGACAATGACGTGAATTCCAAGTAAGATCTTATAGATTAGGCAGTTACATCATGACAAATCTACAATTTTAGGGTTAGATCTATTATTAGAGCAGTAGCAATATCGAAGTAGACCATAATTCCACAGATACTCCACGTCCTACTCAGGAAGATTCGGGAGAGGGAACAAGTTCCGACAGGTTGAAAAGAAGTGTATCTCATTAAGATACCAAAGAAAGGAAAGCTGAGCAAGTGTGAGAACTATTGGGGCACCACACTACTGCCAGTACCAGCAAAAGTTTTCAACAGATTGATACTGAAGCACATGAAAGATTCAGTAGACTCCCAACTTCGAGATAAACAGGTGGGATTCCATAAGAATCGGTCGCGCACAAACCAAATCGCCACACTGCGGATCATTGTTGAACAATTAATTGAATGGGATTCGTCACTATGCATTAACGTCCATGAATATGATAAGGCGTTTGATAGTGTGGATAGGAAAACATTATGGAACCTTCTTTGACACTCTGATGTACCTAAGATGATCGTCGACATCGCATGGAATTCATACGACGTATTACAAAGCAAAGTCATGCATGAAGGATAGCTGACAGACTCATTCCAAGTGAGAACTCGAGTTAGACAAGGCTGCTTACTCTCTGCCATTTTTCTTTTTCCTGGTGGTTGACTGGATTATGAGGACCTCCACATATGAGGGAAAGCACGGAATACAATGAACAGCTCGGAATCAATTATATATGGACTTTGCAGATTACCTAGCCCTTCTATCCCATACACATGGACAAGTGTAGATGAAGACAACTAGCGTAGCAACGGCCTCAGCATCAGTAGGCCCCAACACACACAAGGGAAAAACCAAGATCCTCAAATGCAACGAGAAGAACATCAACGCAATCACAATTGATGGGGAAACTCTGGGAGAAGTGGAAGTTTCACGTACCTGGGTAGCATCGTTGATGAACTAGGAGAATCCGATACAAACGTAAAGGCGGGGATTGGTAAAACAAGAACATCATTCCTACAATTGAAGAACATATGGAACTCAAAACAAATGTCAGCCAACATCAAAGTCATAATCTTCGCTACGGACGTCAAGACAGCTCTACTGTATGGACTTGAAACTTGGAGAACCACCACAACCATCACCAAAATGTGCAGGTATATAAACAGTTATCTACAAAAGATTCTCAATGACCATTGACCGGAAAC